AGTTCATCTTTATCGTGAAATTTCTGTCAAAATAAACAAATTATCATAAAGCACATTCCAGAACAGCAAATGTATGATTACCTCCAATAGCAGTTCTCCGCTAGGAGATAACAACTGGTGATATTTCAGCTCGTCAATAATTTTCTTGAAATTAGTAATTTTTCTTTGTAGTCGCAATGATTTTTGTTTCAATCGATCACATCTTACTTTACTGTTCTTGAGCTGCTTCTGAAGCTTCGGGAGCGCTCGGATTGCATCCTCTGGAGATATGTTGGCAATACTTTTAATATCCCCCGCGTAACGAATGCTACAAATCAGAGAACAACAATGAATAATCTGTAGTTTTGAATTGAACACTTCACTCACCACTTTCGCTTCGCCCCAATGATATCACACGATTTTTTCTGGAACTCCATGTTGTCTGTGCAGATGACATTCGGATCTTTCTGAAAACTTGTCACATCCAACATCTTTCTCGGGATGATTTGTTGAGCCGGATGTTGCTGAGAGTTATCCAATTCGCCCAGTTGATTCGGTGTCAAGCTCGCCTTAATTTTGGCTTTTCCAGATGAACCAGTAATGAAACGAGAACGCTCGGCAGCATTAATCTTCTGTTGTTGACTAGAAATGCAAATAAACAGTTCTTTAAACAATTGACAAATTGTATAGTACATTTTCCTTACCATTTGTGTTTCATCCCAGAGGAATCCGCTGTGGACAACGGTGTCTTATACGCCGAGTGCTGATTATTTTCTGATAAGTAAGGAACGGAGCTCTAGAAGTGAGAGGATACATTTTTTCATTTTCTGTGTGCGCTACGAAAATACTCGGAACTGCGTATTACTGAGCCTGAGTAGTCCGTTTTTGACTTCGTAATCAGACTGCCGGAAGTGTCTCGAACATATTCGAGCATTTTTGCTTCTGATTTTCTCGAAACCCGGAGAAAAATCACGGATTGCATCACACCACTGTTCGAATTGCCCAGAATCACGAGGAAATCTGAAAACAAGAAAGTTTATGAGAGGAATATTGAAGTTGGAATTTTGTCTTTTATGTAACAAATTTACCTTTATTTAGCTTTAGATGGTCGTAAAAAAAACAACAAAAAAAAACAACAATGCTGTTTTGATTTGAGTTCGTGTATTCAGCTATATGTCAAACCTCTGAGATGAACGCGTCATTGGAGCGGTACTAATGGATATTTTTGGACGCTATTGAAAATTTAGTCGATTGCTGAATTTATGTATGGGCTCATATTAGGGGCATTTAGGCCGACATTACATCCATTTTCCCTATGTGAAATTTGTCAGAAAACTATTTCTGTCACAAATAAGGGAAGAGCTAATCTGGTCGATCATTTGGGATCGCAGAAACACCAGACTAGTGTGAGAACGGCTGGATAGTCTCAAAAGCTGGGGGCAACTTGCGCATCTCGAAACAAACCTTGTAAGGCCAATTTATCGCGAACCGAAATTCTCCTCTACCCGTTTGTGTTTAGGGTATGTGAATGTAGGTTTCGGTTCGCGAGAAAATGGTCTTATAAGGTTTGTTTACAAAATGGAGTTGAGGCCTTTTCAATTGTTGGTCTTGATGTGTTTGGAGGAATTTCGATCAAAGCCTACGCCATTCATCGGAGTCAGCACAGATGGTAGCAATCACCGATCTACTGAAATGTTCCCGGTACTGTTGCAGGTTTTCAACCCCGAAAAAGGTATAACATTGAATGTGCTCTCATTCGAATCTCTGGAAACGAGACTGTCGTGAGAATAACTCATTTGCTGACAACTACGTTAAAAACATGATCTTGTGAACAAATGCATTGCGTTTTCGAGAGATAACTGTAACACCAATTTCGGCAGTATTAATCGCGAAGGCAGAGACAACGTATTTTATCATATGAAACAATCAACTCATCGTGACCTGATTGGTGTTGGATGTCCAGCACACTTGCTTCATAATACGGCCAAACGTGGGTTCGATCGATTGGATATCGATATTGAAGCTCTTGTTTTGAAAATTTACAATTTCTTTTCGTTCTATACAGTTCGTACAGAGCAACTTAAGAGTGTAAACCTGTCCACAAACATTCCAAATCTAGTTGGCTGTCAGTCAAGCCTACTGTGCAGCGTATTTTGCATTTCCAGAACAACATGTGAAAAGGGCATACAAGCTTTTTGTAAACAAACCTTTGTAGGCCCTTTTCTCACCAACCGAGGGTCGCCCACGCAAACCAGCAATATCATCGGGAAGGAGAAAGTGTCCCCTACCCGGTGATGTTAAAGGTTTGCGTTGGTGTCATATGGGTGGCGAGAAAAGGGCATAAGAAGGTTTGTTTACAAAAAGCTTGTATGCCCTTTTCACATGTTGTTCTGGATTTGTACAATTCTCTTGAAAAATACTTCTGCTCTATCAATAGCCCACCGAAGCTACATGAAAACTTTTTCAAGGAAGATGTAAGCGAAGCTTATTTGTGGTTTGTTCATTCGTTAATTTCCATGTTTCATAACAACATTGCACAAATTGCATCTGCAGATACATTCTAGACGATGTTCACAAGCACCTTTCAGAACACTACACTGAACCAATTTGACATATTCCTGTTATGTGGAAGTCTAATAAATTTGCGCTATAAGATAATCCATTGAAAATGATATGATTGAAAATGTGTCAGGTAAATTCTCTATGAATATCTGATGCATTTACAATGCTGATAATTTGATAACTTTTATATGATCTTCATATGATAAATGCAAATCGGTCAAATTATAATAATTAACTGCATAAGCTTTACTTTTCACCACAGTATAATATATGTGTCATAAATCAATCGAAGTAAAGTTTATATGAAAATCACATAAAGTTTACTTCTTCTTTTGACACATATATTTAATCGATTTCTAAAAATAGATCGAAAAATAAACACCAGGCAGTGGAAGCTTTTTCGCAGTTGTGTCTTTTTTTTACTGTTGCTGATTTGGGATTCCATCCAGAACTGTTAAGGTGTGATGCTTTCGGTGTCTGCGCTCGATTCCACTGGGCCACGGCTGACTTCTAGATTGAGCTCATTCAATTAGTATGAATTAAGAACAGCTCTCCCGACATGGAATGTAGTGCAACGTTATGCTCGTTTTGCTAGAGTGAAGAAAAATAACACTGACAAGTTTATGCTCCGTTTCAGTGGTGTCGTGTATTCAAATCTTTTTTAATGCTCCTGTGTGCAATAAAACAACGACTACATTATATGAGTTCATGAAACTGGTTCATGAAGTTCTAGTACTAATGCTGGAAACTGAATTAGCCGTGTAGAAGGCTTACAATTAGAATCTTAGCATAGTAAACATTGCAGTAAAATCATTTTTTTTTCAATATCTATAAATTCTTTTCCGGAACCCCTTATCTTATGAAACAATAACAAACAAAGATTATATCAGACATATATAAGACAGTATCATTGTTGTTAGCAATATTTAGTTCGACTTATCATTTAAATGAGTGTACGATAACATCGTTGAAAATTGTTTCAATAATTCATAAAGAACAATCATGTAAGCTGTATTTTATTGGGAGCGATATTCATCCCAGAAAACCATGCCAAAACAAATGTTTGCTGTTGGATTTCTTAAAAGGCAAACCCATATGACTATTTAATGATTGGGATAGATCTTTTTACAATATTTAAACCTCAAAAATCAAAGGAAGCTATTCCAATGAGATATACATGTTTTCCTATACTGCAAAGTTAAATGACTGTCCAATAGTTTCTACACGCAACATATCCACAAACGTCAAAAATCGTTAAAAGCAACTCCAATAAAATAAATATAATTATCTTATAAGATATATCTTTTAGTGAGCAATATTCATCATGAATACAGGTATATTTTACTGAATTTTCTCATAGTGCAAACTTATATGATTTTCCATTAGTTTCTAGATGTCTGTTCCCACCCATTACATATCACCAGTTTTTCACCATGAAATATATCAGACAATATTCATATACATCTTACCTATCGCTAACAACTTTCGAAGCAAAGTATAATCAAGTACTAAGTATGTGAAATTACGATAGAAATCATTCCATATCGCAGTCATAGTTTTTAAGTGATAATCCAATGGAATCTATCAATCATCACATAGAATGAATAAATCTGCTGACATTGCTGTGATATAAGATGAATCCAATAAACGGTACATGTCGATTTGTTTCAGTGTGGATTATCTGGATAAGTGGACAGCAGACTTCTCAGGGTTGGACGTTTTTCGTAGGATGGCTCTGTCTAAGGAACCATAATGAAATCACCGACAAACACCGGTCATGGAATGATGTTGAGGAGTGCGTCGAGTTTTTAAATGAAAAAAGGAGCAACTATTAATCAGAGTTTGGCAGATGAGAGGCTCAGTAAGCTGCAAGCAGCAAGTAAATGAACTAATTATTTTCAGTCAGTAATGCATTTTCTCATCTCCCGGAAGACTTCACGTTAGATTGTCAGATCAAATTTGCTTTTTAATCGGGTCATGACCCAACAAGCGGGGGCCCAACTAATATTCAGTCCAAGTATTAAAAGCACAACCAGCAAATTTCGACTGCAGAGAACAGCCAGTCTAAGAATACTATTTGACTTCAAAATTCTAATGGGTATAAAAAAGTAATTTTAAATAGTTTGAGTGAAGTGTTACTTCGCTGTACCAAATTATACACAGTGAATAAAATCTGAATCCATTCATTACGCTTGGAAAATAAAAAATAAAAAATGACCGTACATTACCAAACAGGACAGACCTATTATTGTGTTCAATATTGCATGCACGAATCCAAGAAGTCAAATTGTGTGCAAGTGGGCATCATTTTCTGAACCGCTGCTGTCAATCCGATTCTTGCATTCAACCATTCACAGTTACAGTAACAGCTGACGATGATGGTTTCGATGATTGCCATGACAGGCGAGTGAAACCGTAAGGCCGTAGTTTAAGGGGTTTGTTTTTATTTCATCAACCACATCAGTATCATCAACCTGTTGTTGTATGTGGAAAACTTTTCGATCCGTCGATGTGTCTTAAAAACTAAAAACTGTTCTATTACACAAGAGTTGAATTTTTGTATCAAACAGCATTCTACTCATAACAGGTAAGTGCAAATCACGGTGTCAATAATACTGACCTTGAGTTGATTTATCAGAGCGCCACCCCCTCCCCCAATCACAATGATCCCATGATCCAATGAAGTCATCCCAACAAGATGAGACCAAAATAAAAACGCAGACAAACACGGGTTCGTTTGTTGATGTTAATTTTTTTTCTCTCTCGGAGTCTATTTTAGGTGAAAGCGATTTCGTTTTATTTCGTTTGGCCACGACGTAAAGAAGTTCAAAAGCTGAAAGAAGATGGCTGCGGGAAGTGCACCTTTGGAAGATAAGAGCTATTTTCAGCGGTTTTGTGATTACATGAGCCATGATACCAAAGGAGTAGAGGTAGGTGATTTTTGATGGCATGGGTTTGGGAGGGATTTGTGGGCTAAAATTGACTAATGTATGTAATAGAGCCGATTCTTGACAGCAACCTATTTCTTTGAAATATTATCCAGTGTATATCTAGTTTGGTCAATCCTCATTTTAAAAACATTTTCTAGTCTTCTAAAAAATCCATGTACTGGTTAATACTCTTATTGCACCAAAATATACCTTAAAGGTCTAGCTTTAACACGTATGTGAAAGAGTTGGAATCACAGTGATGTTAAATCAGTAGAAGAAAAAAGTTTGATGCTTAAAGAGGCTATCCACATTGAGAAAGCGATTTTAAATTGGCTCAGTACTTGACTAGCCTATGGGTCCCAAGTACATCTATAAGCGTACCCCATTTAATCGAAATTCAAGTACTACATTATGTTTGTTTTGATTCGCTATGAAAGTTTGACAGATAAAATGAGGGGTTCGTGGATTTTCCTATGTTTCGAGGGGTACATCGATTAGCTTGGGACCGAAGATAGTACCAGAGCTCTCTATGGTCACGTCTTCCTTCGGAAGGGAAGTAAAACCGTTGGTCCCGGCTCATGTGTGTTGAATGGGTGCGATATCCTACGCAGGTGTGGAAGCACCGATGTCCGTCGGTGATTGGCACTAGATTGCGGAACAGAGACCGACGTTGAATAAAGGAAAGAAGATGAAGAATACTCAGGCCTATTCTGCGCGGCGTGTGGGGTGAGGTGACAGTGAAGTGATGGTTAAGTGACAGTTGTCACCTCGATTTACACAATTGTCACTTCACTAATGGCAGCGAATCACCTCACCTCACACGTCGCGCAGAATTGGCCTAAAGGCCCAAACGCAATGTGGGTGGAAACGGAAAGTTTGACAGTTGCCTCAAATGACATCAAGATGTCTAACCGAAGTCGATTTGGTTCTAATTAGTTTTCAATCCGACAAGTAGGCTTACTCAGATCGGGCTTTTCACGCAGAAAAATTTACCGTCGAAACAAAAATATTTTAGGTAAATTTAAACGTAAACTCAGTTTGTTCTGGCCACAAACATAAACTAGGTTGATTTCAAACGTATTCTACGTTTGAATCCATTGATAATAATGTTTAAAACAAAAATAATGTTACGTTTATTTTAAAAATATTCGTGTTGAAAATAAACGTGAATATTTTTGATTTATTTGAAAACTATATGCAATCAAAAATTAATATTTTTATTTGAAACATGCTTTTCATGTTTAAAATAAACAAACATATATTGAAATTATTTTATCATTTGAATACTGAAAAAATCAAAATAAAATGGATAGCAAATTAATGGAAATTCCTGTGATTATGGAAAGTCTGTGGATGTTTGGATACGGGAGGCCGTCGGGGTGGGTGCCCGATCCGATCCAGTTCAGTAAAACCGGTGAAACTTTGTGATATTAGCGTCATTTTGTCGTTTCTGACGCTGGTCCTCATACCGGCCTCTTTCTAAGTTTAGTGTTCGGGGATGATCTGTTTTTTATTCGACGTCGGGTAGGGGGTGAGGATGATATGGGGATCGGTATCAGAAACGACAAATTGACGTTAATATTGTGATGTTCCACCGGTTTTGTCGAGCTTGGAACAATTGCTTGCGTGGGTTTCCGGACCCTCTATTTCGGTTTCGCCGCTTGCAGGCCGTTTTCGGTTAAGTTTGCCGAATGTAAAAAAAAGGAAAAAAGGACACGCTAAAAATTGACTACCCAGATTATGTATTGTTGAAATAAACATGCTTTTGAATTTATTTTAAACATACATATTTTTGTTGAAAACATGTTTGTAATTTACTTTGAACTATTCATATTTTTATTTAATAAACATATATATTTTTAACTTAAATGAACAAAATTTGGTTCCGTGTACTGCCGGTGCCGTTCCGCTTCCGCTGTCATTGCGCTTGGGCCTTAACTGTGAACTATTGTGGAGAAGTTTGATGGTTACCCCCACCTATGATTATTTCTTTTTAGATAGATTTGCTCCATGCGTGCAGTTGGGGATTACAAAGTTTTTTTTTTATTTCTTTCATAACTTGTCCTGTCTTATTTCCAGATTGTCACATACACGGTATCCGGAATTCTGTTCGTAGTTGCGTACAATAAAATCAGACCGGTAATGCAGCGTTTTGTAAATCCCGTCTCCATTTGAGCATTTCTTATCTTTTACAACTGTCCCGCAGATAACCCGCTTCGGTAAACCTTCGGACATTCCGAACCACTTCATCCGAGAGCAGATTCCACAGTACGGTCGTGTTCGTAAGATCGAACCTTCCATTCAATCCGGCCCGCTGCTCATCGTCAAACACCGTCCTCCGCTCAATGTGTTCTTCTGGTCCAATAAAACTCTCCCGGTCAAGGTGGCCGGAGTTGACCTCAACGCCAACGGATACTCGTGGCTTCAATCGGTTGTCGTCGATCGGCAGGTCACATTTCTTCCCGTCAAAGCTGACACCGGCAAAGATTACGTTGAATGTAGCGTGTGGTTTAACGAGTTTTCATCGGACAAGAAATGGCTCAGAAAGGTCGATTTGGGCCAAGCGCTGCTACAGTTGGGTTTTGCCAAGCTAAGTGTCCCAGTGCCACGGACGAAGATTGTCAGCAAGGATCCCTACGAACAGCAGATTCATGCGTACTTTATGAAGTTGGCTCACAGTGAAAATCTGGCGAAGGGTCGACGAATCGGACTTTGGCAGCAAGCGTGAGTATCGATTAATAAAATAGCTTTAACTGATCATCTAATAAATGCAATTTCCTACAGTCTTCCACCGAAGGTACTGCCCGCGCGGCTTTGGCAGACCATGTGGGACAGCATGGTTCAACGTCTGTCGCCTTCGTCGCACCGTGTGCCAGAATTGGTACGATGAACGGCATCATTATTAGCATCAGTAGCGCAGCCCTCCGTGTCCCAAACAAGCGCAACAAATCAGCCAAGTATAGCATTAACTCGACTTTTTTGTTTTTACAAAAAATGACAAACACTTGTTAGTTGTTGCTGAGTTGAATAGTATTTCCTTTACACAATCGTCAATTTGCTAAGAAAGTGCTTAAAATCCGTCACACAATCACAAAAACAGCCAACGCGGATTTCGGAGGCGCGAGCGTGCCCGTGTCGAATTAGCGGAATGCAACTGCTGCCACCGCGCCGTTCGTCACCGTTGAGAGGGAAGTCGAAGCATGATTCGGCTCCGATTTTTTGGCAAATTTGCAACCGATGATGGCGGTATTGATGAATACCTGTTGTGTTTTTTTTCTAGCATATTGTGTTGGTTTATATATTAGGATACGTATGCAGTTCGATTCGACTGAGACGGGTTTCGAAGAAGTGAATAATAGCGCAAAGGTCGGTGTACATAAATATAAGGCCTGTTGAAAGAGAAAGTGTGGAAATGGGTTTGATTGAGGAACGGTTTGATTTTTTGCTGTAAGAAGACGGTTTTGAAGATGCCTTTAATTTGGTTTAAATTGGTAATACTACTTACTTTCACAGTTCGAAAAGTTGTATACAACTTTCCTCTGAAGAACGCGTTACCCACTGAGTTTTTCTCGACGGGTTTTCAACCAATCGCTCTGATTTTCAGCGAGTGACTAGTTCTTTATTGACATTACTCACATGCAAAAAATTAGACCAACTGGTTGCAAACCCGCCGAGAAAAAGCGGTGTGTAGAACTCAGTGGATAATGCGTTCTTCGAAGGATAGCTGTATATATTTGTTATTTACATTTTAGATCGAAGGTTGAAGGCATGACCACTAGACTGATGCAAATTTTGAATGTTTTGCTCCACAAGTTTTAAACGATCCCATATTGGGTCCTAATCATCTTGCCAAAATTTGAGCCCATTTGGTTACAACCTGACTTCGCACAAACCGTTTGAAATTCATATGGTTATTACCATGGGAAAATCAAGTTTTTCGTTGGTATCATTCTAAACATGCTGCATGGCGGTTTGATGACATATTCGTTATTTGCAATTATAGAAAATTTTGTAAGCTACAACTTTCTAGAGGACCGAAAGTTTGTAGGACTTATAGAAAAATTGTTATTCAATAAGACTTAAAAACATAACTTTTCCACTCATGATTTATTAGTTTATCTGCCAACACTGGTATGAGGAAATTATCCCTAGTAAGCCAAGCCAATGCATTTGTTTTCAATATGTCAATCACGTGAGAAACCGCATCATGGGTACAGAAAAGGTGTTGCGTTCTAACTTGAATGTGTTCCTCGTGGGACCGGTGAAAGCAGACTTTGTTTTGCAGAAGATTCCGACCAATAGAGAGACATTGCAGGTGTTTTTCTTTTTCCGACTTGTTGACAAGATTTCCATTAAAGAAAGTCTCACAGCAACGATCAAAAAAGTCGAAAACCTGCTGGTGGATAAACTGAAGCGAAGTGATGTTATTAAAAAGGAGATTAATCGGTTTTTTGTAACCTGGTGATGTATGTAGTTGCATATAAGTATTGTGAAATATATTATATAATAAATGATTTATTTATAGATCTACAATCAATTAAAAAACGGAATAATGAGAGTGACATCTACCGGCGGCAGCAATTCATTCGAAAATTATCGGGACCATTTAAGTGTATATTGATTCCTCAAGCAGAGATGGTATTTTAATCATTCTTACCGTTAAACTAAATTGGCAGTACATTATGTTCTGACAGAAAAATACATTTATTAACTTTAGAGCGTTCATGATGCAAACATCAGCGGTAAAACGGAAGATATACTGTTCCATAATTTTACACCGGAACCGGGTTCATCACATGGCAATGAAGGCAGGTCTCGTAAAATATCAAACTATTGACGTCTACCGTGACTGCTACTATAGGCAGAATTGGCATGACGGATGGAAACGCAGAAATGCTATTGGATGCGCTTATCAAGGATAAACTTATCGACTCTTCCAAAAATAATTATACAGTAAACTACAGCTCGATCAGACATCATCGTATGAAACACTGTGAGAAGCTGACCGAATAGGTAGGTTAACTTCTGACATGATTCTATATGCACGTTATTATACCAATTATCATTTATCATTGACATGTCAGATGAATTTCAAACGATTTGTGCCAAGTCAGGTTGTAGCCAAATGGGCTCAAATTTTGGCAAGATGATTAGGACCCAATATGGGATCGTTTAAGACTTGTGGAGCAAAAACTTCAACATTTGCATCAGTCTAATGACCACGAGTGTGGTAGTCAACGTTCTATTGGGTTCTGCTGAAAGACTCTTTAATAAAGTAACCTTACCTAACCTAACAACAATTGAGTTCTTTAATAGTTTTGAGGTAATTGCATATTCGTAATCTGCATGTCAAATAAAACCAAAATTCAAAATTTCATCAATTTTAGTGCACTGCAACTATTTTAAATAAGTTCGATTACATTAGTAAAAATAACCATCATGGCACTCAATGCTGTGTTCTTAAAATTTGAGCTAAGTAATCGTAAACAGTATTTTTCGATGGGCCTTCCCAACAAACAATTTTAGCTGCAGCTTAGCTTATACAGGCAAAAATTAGCTGCATAAGGCAAATTTTGGCTGTATAAGCTAATCTGCAGCTAAAATTGTTTGTTGGGTGTTGGGGGGGGGGGGGGGGTGGTTCATGGCTTTGAGTACGAAAGTGACCCCGTTGGCTTCGTACCACTCCAAGATGTGGGAGAAATCACCGACCACCTATCTCCAGATAAACCATCCTACCGTTTCCTACCCCTCACATCATCATGATGACATCTATGGCAGTTGCCAACATCGCAGACTAAAAACAACACCAGCTTTACGAGCAGTAGCAGGCGTACAGTTATTTCTCATACCTTGTTCCATTCCACATTCTGTATTCCTAGAGTATAGTTATTATTAAAGACCGTGTGAAACAAGTTCGGCCTCGTGTATCTTGTATATTAGAAAGAATTCCTTTTTCGTGGTTTTCTCCGGTTCGCTTCGTTTCTGCTGGTTCTGCCCACAGGTTATGGGCCCAGATCGAGGAAAGTGCGGAAAAGTGACGGACATTAGAAGAAAAAACGGGTCGGTCGGTTGATCGGTCGAGTGCGCGAGTGTGACTTCATTTTGTTTTCTGCCACGTGGCGGAATCTCGGTGAAATGGCGGAGGGTGCAAAAGTGTCTTTGCCGAAGCTCACCCAGTCGAACTGGAGCTCCTGGAAGCAGCGTATGGAGTGGCTGCTGGAGCGAGAGGACCTTTGGGAAGTGATTATTGTTGCTAAGTCAGAACCCGAGACGGAAGAATGGAGGGCAAAAGACCGAAAAGCGCGGGCAAACATTGGGCTCTGTCTGGACGAGAGCCAATTTATAGTAGTGAAAAATTGTGAAAGTGCGAAGGGAATGTGGGAAGCATTAAAAACCCATCACGAGAAAGTGTCTATGTCAACGATTGTTCACTACCTGAACCTTTTGTGCAGTGCTAGTTTGTCGGAGGGTGGCTGCATGGCAGCTCACCTTGAGAACATGGAAGATTTGTTTGACAAGCTCACGGCAGCCGGTCAGAATCTTGAGGAGTCACTGCGCATCGCGATGGTGTTTCGTAGTGTGCAACCGCAGCAATCCTACCTGAATCTGGTGCATGGAATGCAGAGCCAGATAAACGCGGACTGGACAGTGATGATGGTGAAGAATCGATTGTTGGAAGAGTATCGTCAATGCCGAAATCGTGATGAATCGCTTGCACAGGATGTGAAAGCAATGAAGTTAGATGCTGCGAGTGGCAAGAAGGAACGTTTGTGTTATTTTTGTCAGCAACCGGGACACCTTCGGAAGCACTGTAAAAAGTGGCGTGCGCAGAAGAATGGTGATTTCGAGAAGAAGCCGTAAAGTGAAGACAAAAATCCAAAGGCCAAACAAGCTGATTGTGATGCCACTGGTAGTGCGGTTTGCTTTGTGGCTGGTGCAGTGATTCGTAACTGTTGGGTGATCGACAGTGGCGCTACGTGCCACATGACGTGTGACAGGTCGTTTTTCACGGAGTTGTGGGTAACCGTCGGTACGACAGTGACTCTGGCCGATGGAAAGAAGACGAAAGCGTCAGGCATCGGTAAAGGAATCGTATACAGTGAGAACGCGCGCGGTGAGAGAGTCGAAGTTACTCTGAAAAATGTACTGTTCGTTCCGGAATTAGACGGTGGGTTGATTTCTGTCGGAGCGTTGGCCGCGAACGGTTTTTCCGCGAAGTTCGGCGTGTCGGGTTGTGAAATTCGTAATGCACACGATGAAGTGGTTGTGATTGGTGATAAATCGGGCAGTTTGTATAAGCTGCGAATCCAGGAGTGTTCGCTCAAAGTGGCAGGTGATCATCACGAGCGGTGCCAGCATACGTGGCATCGTCGAGTTGGACACCGGGAACCCGATGTTCTGCGACGATTGAAATCGAAGGATCTGGTGCGTGGTTTTGTAATGAAAGACTGCGGTGTGCGTATCACATGCGAGAGCTGCCTACAGGGGAAGTTGGCACGAGCGCCATTTCCTGCTTTGGCCGAGCGAAAGACTTCGAGACCTCTGGAGCTGATCCATACGGACTTGTGTGGGCCTATGGAGACCACAACACCCTCAGGTAATCGATATATTATGACCTTAATTGACGATTACAGCCGTTACGCCGTGGTGCACCTGCTGAAGCGCAAGGATGAGGCTGCAGATAAAATTAAGCAGTACGTTCGTTGGGTGCAGAATGTGTTTGGGAGGAAGCCCCTAGTGTTTCGCTCTGATGGCGGGGGCGAATATACCGGTCGTGCTCTCCGGGAATTTTATGAATCGGAAGGGATTAAAGCGCAATACACGATGCCCTATTCGCCCCAACAAAATGGAATGGCGGAGCGGAAAAATCGGTCGCTGCAGGAGATGGCTCTATCTATGTTAGCCGACGCGGATATGACGAAGTTGTACTGGGGCGAGGCTGTACTGACGGCAGCATATCTTCAAAACCGGTTGCCGTCACGGGTGGTTAATAAGATTCCTTTTGAGATATGGACGGGCGAGAAACTATATTTGGCTGATCTTCGTGATCTTCGGCTGTGATGCTTA